ACTAATGCGCGTCGGAAATGTAGCCAGCCCCGGCAAACAAACCAAGTGGTGCACCCTGGGCAACGTATACTCATACGGCAAAAAAGTCTATAAACCGGCAGTTGACTTCTGACTTCAAGCTACCATAGCCCGACTGCTTGTCATATTCAACCCCTTCAACAGCAGTTATCTTGCCTTTTTCTCAACCTTTGTGTCTGTCTGCCTCTTTTACATCTGTGAATCGCTCTTCTGCTCCCCTTCCTCGACTTTCTGCTACTCTGATGACCCTTCCCTCTGTGAAGCCCAAAGTCAACTAAAGGGCTAATGATACCTATCAAAACGCCTGCCATTTGAAATAAATATATAGAGAGAGGGTGTGACGTTAAGTAAAGAGAGAAATGAAGCGATGTAAGACCAAAACAAATGGAATGAGTTGAGGTGGGAATCGCTTTTTATTTCCTTGACCTCCTTCTTTTTATCTACGAGAAAATGCGGTGAGAAAACTTTACTGAAATGAAAAGGCTTCAACCAAGGGGCTACCACCTTCCCTTCCAGCCACAATCAGCAGGATTAACCTACAATAACTCCTAGAAGCACAGAAGAAATTTAAACTCATATTCTTTTTGTTTATAAAATATGATGAAACGATAAAGCCATAGCAAAATAGAGTGGCCAGAAAAGTTAGAAAATCACACAAAAAAACAAAAAACTATAAACCCTTAAAAATGAGTGCATCATGTGAATTAGAATGGCATTGCAATACAAAAGACGTGTCAATAAAAAACAGTACGTCAAAGTAGATTTACGCAAGTAGAGGAAATTTAAGATGCACAAAAAACAATTTACTGATCTCATAATTACAAAGCCCGTCAGTCGAGAAGTGAACTTCCAGCACTTATTGAAATGGAGACAGGGAGCTTCACATCCTGGAATCAATAATAAGAAACTCGTACTTCACTACTATTCTCGCTTGATGAGTATCGGGTCTATAGCGTAATGGGAAGAGAACACGTCTGTACTCATTCGCAGTAGATTGTTACACATTCACTAGATGTGCGTCTGCATTTTAGTTTGTCCAAATGACGTGGCAGAGGAACGTTTATGAATACATACACACATATATAATTCATTAAAGGAGATCAAACAAAATATAACTAAACAAGGCAAACCAACAAACTTACTTCTCAGGTTTTAGGTCTCGATGAACAATTCCATAACTGTGGAGATATTCCAAGGCTAACACTAGCTCAGCGAAATACATGCGGACTAAGTCTAGAGGTAAAGGTCCACCAATGTTCTTGAGTAGTGTCGCTACATCACCTCCCTCAACAAATTCCATCACCATGCAAAGAGACTTCTTTGTCTCAAAGGAGCAGTAGAGGCTGACCACAAAAGGATTATCCGCAAAAGAGAGAATATCCCGTTCGGCAAAGACTTGTTCGACTTGGTTACGGAGACGCAGATGCTGTTTTGGCATCTTCTTCATGGCGTAGCGTTGAAGAGTTAAGCGATCGCGAACAAGGAAAACAGCACTGAGAAAAAAAACAATGAAATGTAAAATCAATGAGAACAAATCAGAGTTACAGGAGAGAGCAGGTGGGATTAACTAATTCTTCACAAAGTTGTATAATCTGCATTCCAAACATCACAAGCATTACTCCAATAAGTTAGGCTGACGATGTACATATGTTACGACCCTTTAATAACTTGTAAAGAAATGTATTAGCAATTTAATTTCACCCTCCTAATCTTATCCACGCAATCCGCCCACAATGACATAAATCCGAATGAGACTCATGACCTTCTTCTATCCTCCTCAGACGTATTGCTCCAGTACCACTGATTAAGTTTTCTATTTCAATTCTTTGTTGCCGTAACTGTTTCATTCAGTTCGCCTATTTTGAGGCCTTTTTCGATAGAGCGTTTGTTTGTGACCACTTATTTAAACCTTGGGGTGTGCGATAGACTTACCTCCACGTGGTGCACCCTGGGCAACGTATATTCATACGGCAAAAAAGTCTATTGACTGGCAGTTGACTTCTCACTTCGAACTACCATCACCTCACTCTATGCCATATTCGACTATTTTCACAGTACTCACCTCACCTTTTTCTACCTTTGTGCTTGTCTCTTACATCTTTGAAACACTCTTCTGTCTCCCCCCCCCCTCTCGACTTTTTTTCAATTCGACGTTCCTTCCCTCTGTGAAGCCTGAAGTCAACTAAAGGGCTAATGATAACCACCAAGACGCCTGCCATTTGATATAAATAAATACTTATTTAAACCTTGCATAGATATAATTCGGAGAGCTATAATAACTGGCTCCCTTTTAAGCTGAACCGAGCACTCAATCAATGGTTTATGTTATGCTTATCTAGGCCATTCCGTATGCCACTCTCATGGTACGCCTCTCTTCGCGTATGCAATCTTATTTTGTGACTGTCATAACTAGCAGAAAAGACCATTTAGGGATCGGTAATTAAATTTTTTGATGATCTAAATCAACACTTAATTGAATAGAGCTCACATTTGTTCAAATTGCAAAATTAAAATGACTTAAGTTGCAAGAAATAATAAACCCAAGACTGAGGTAAAACTGGGGAATTTATAATGTCCATTCAAAGTCTCTCTCTCTCCCTCTATTTGGTGAACGAATCGGAGAATAGATCGGAGTGTTGATGATTAGGATTATTTGCTCAACGACAAAACACGAACACGCAATGAACCCCCCCCCCCCCCCAACACATCGGACTTGCTTTCGCTCTCGTTCAGTATTGGCGATTTTACTCTTTTCTTCCAAATTCTGCTTCCGACTACTTGATTCTTTGTCCATTCATTCCAGTCTTCAAATATACCGGTGTCCCATCTGGTCAACTTATTTGTTGTAAAAATGCTTACTTTTAGGAAACCAATTTGTTCTCTGAACTCAGTCAGATCATAAGATTAATCTTAGTTTGGATCAGCAGTACATTAAATTCCAGTCCCAACTTAATGACGGAGTTGGATATATGTATCTCAAGCCATATATACTTACCCATAAGCTCCATTCGATATGAGTTTGATGATATCAAAATCAGCTTCACAAGGTCTTCTCGAGGAACTCGATTTCTCAGAAACAGAACTAGAGGGAGGAGGCGGAGGAGTGATGTTTGGACTCTGTAGCTCTCCTGTCGACGGAACTAACATTGGTTGAAGGGGTGTCGAGGGCGAAAATACATCCATGTTCAATGGAGTAGGAGGATTGGAGAGATTTCTATCGAATTGCTCTCCACTTCCAGTCAGACTTCGCGAACTCAAACTGAGACCTGAAACGCGAGAAAACAGATAATTAGAATAACTAGATGATTTGACTACTAGCCTCAAAGTAGGGGAAAAAGTGACGATACTATCATGAAATTGGATTGAGACTGAGACTAAACCGGCATCAAATATCCTTTATTTGGAAACAAGATCAAATAGCTGTTTCAAACACTACTAGTACTGAAATAGACTACCTTCCGGTTCAGCATCAGCGGGCTTGCTCAGACCCAATTTTGAGATGATGTAGCGTGGAACGTCCGGACAAAAGATCTTCAGGGAGTCATTCTGGGCTCGAACCTGATTCTCAGCCACTTCGAGCATCTGATAGAACTCAAAGGGGTCAAACTCAAGACATTCAAGTAGACGAGCTGGTCGAGCAATGTTTAGCAGGAGGCGATTGCACATGTTGTTCACGCAGGCCAGGGATTCTGGGCTCTTATTGCGCGTCTAGAATAGAGAGGAGATACAAACATTGAGACAAGATTAAAGAACAATGGGTTGAGAAGTGGAAAATCCAATCTTACATCAGATACGAGTTTTTCCAACTTTTCAGTGAGCTCAAAAAAGTATCGACAGGTAATTAGACCGGCCAGTGCTTTATCTAGACAATCACGGGCCAACTCTAGCACTTGTTTATGCATGAAGCGAGCAACGGCTGTCCATGAAAAGGTGTCCTCCTGTTCCATGTCTGAGCAAAGACGATGAAGATTTTCTTGCATTTGGGCCGCAGCCTAAAATCGGATTGTACTTTTTGATATTTGCTCTCATTTCCCGTAACACATGGTCTTAATGATATGGACGACACTCACCTTGGGAAAACGTTGGCGATAGAGATGATTGAGAATAACAACTTCATTTTCATTATTTGTCGGTGACCGCACAGGGCTAAATTATTGAAAAGAAGAATCGATTAACGTTATGCTCTTGATTGCAAAAAGGTGGAAATATGTCGAGGTGGAATGACCAATCACGGAACGGAACCAAGAAGCTCTGATTATAGGGAGAGGGGGGGGGGAACATAAACTGAAATTTACTTCATGGGATTTTAAAAGTAAACCGTAATCCCAATGAAGCCACAAACAGTTAAATAGATCCATAATTCAAACAAAGTAAAAGACTTAATGTCCTGACCACATGACCTTATTAGACTCGTTGAGATCTCTACCCGTTAGAAAGATGAATCTTCTCTATATTTAAAACTTGCAAACATGGTAAATAGAAAAGATTATATTTAACATTTGTGAACTGATTATATTGGGTGGGCAACTAAGTCATTGCCGTTTTTGTTGACAGATTCACTGTATACTTTCTTTTGTTTTGTTAACGTGGCCAGAGCATCTAACCTATATTTTTTTCTTACTGTATGGGCTTCTAGGTTGATTAGTAAACAATTTTTTTGTTTTCTTCTTTAGTTTTGTTTTTATCCCAATTTAAAAATGAAAGAACAGGACGTGCACTTCCGACACATTTTATTGTATTACTTCCGAAAAGGCAAGAACGCATCGCAAGCACAAAAGAAGTTATGTGCCGTATATGGAGATGAAGCCGCCTTAAAAGAAAGGCAGTGTCGAAATTGGTTTGAAAGATTTCGTTCCGGTGATTTTTCACTGAAAAATTCACAACGATGTGGCCGCCCAGTCGAAGTGGATGAAACCCATATCAAGGCCATTATCGATTCAAATCGTCACAGCACAACACGAGATATTGCAGAGAAGCTGCTCAATGTGTCGCATACATGCATTGAAAAAGAAAATTAAAAACCCTTGGTTATGTCAAGAAACTTGATTTATGGATCCCTCACCAGTTAAAGGAAATTCATTTGACNCCCAAACAGTATCAAAAGCAGCAGAGATTCACCAAAAAAAGATTATGCTGTCAGTAGTCTGGTGGGATCACAAAGGAATTTTGTATTTTGAACTCATGCCGCAGAACCAAACGATAAATTCAAATGTGTATGTTGAAGAACTCGAAAAACTGAAAGAAGGATGCAATTGAAGATAAGCGGCCGGCATTATCAAATCGGCGGAAGGGTGTTGTTTTCCATCATGATAACGCAAGGCCCCCCCCCACACATCTTTGGTTACTCGGCAAAAATTATGGGAACTGGGTTGGGATGTTTTGTCACACCCACCATATAGCCCTGACCTTGCGCCTTCGGATTACCATTTGTTTCGTTCCATGCAAAACTCTTTAAATGGTAAAATTTGTAACAACGCGGATGATGTCGGATCACACCTAATTCAGTTTTTTAATAGCAAAGACCAGACATTTTACGAACGGGGAATTTTTACTCTGCCAGAACGATGGAAAAAAGGTCATCGACAAGAACGGCCAATATCTAATTGAATAAAGTTATATTTTTAAACACAAATTCCGAATTTGCCTTCTTATTTGAAATCGGCAATGACTTAGTTGCCAACCTAATAGTACTATATCAAAGTAATCTCAAAAAAATTATTAGGACATGATTAAATCAATAAGAGACCTTAAAGATAGAATTTCACTGCATTTGACTGTACTTTAAAGTCATAAATTCGATAGATTAAACTGATAAACAGACAGCTTCAAAATTCACAAAAAAACGTGTTCATCAACAATAGGAATGAAAATTTGGTACCGAAATATGAGCACTAGGCACTTTAACTGTCAAGATGAAGAACAGTGTTGGCAAAGATGAACAGGGAATCTCATATCTCTGTCAAATACCTTTCATTAATGATTTTAAAACAGTGTTCTCAAAATCTTCCCCAACTTTTAACCAAGAACAGAAACGTAAGCGCGAAATAACCAATACGAAGATTATGTGAGGGAATTAAGAGAACTCTAATTCAACAACGCACTAGAATAAGCATGTTCTCTGTTTTCTAATTTTTAGTTTTGAAAGCTATTCGCAAACGTCAACCGCTACATTTGGAGGATGGGAAAAACCGATTTTAGCCAACATTCCGTGGGAGTTAATTCGGCTCGTTTTAACTAGAAAAAGGAAGGATAACATCTCTGAACCAATGTTAAGCTCAACGATACACCAAAAAACGACTAAAAAAGGACAGTGGTAGTATTAAAAAGTATTTCAGTTTCAACTGGAGTGGACCCAAAGAAAGCTCCATTAAAGTGAAAACACGTAAGTTAAGGGAATCAAATTTGTTTTGCTTTTACCAACAACTCTAGAAAACCTTCAGAAATTAAATTATGATGTTGTCTTGTTTCTACAGGCTAATTTTAACAAAATGCGAATAAGAAAATGCACGCCACTCGGAAGTCAACATGAAGAGCATTTTTAATCCACAGGTCTCAGAAGTAAAGCTCCAATCTGACAATCTCAAGATTAAAAAGGCGGTTTCTAGGCGCAGGAAGATCAACCCCGCACCATGCCTTTTGTAAAAAACCTGGTTTCAAGACTGAAAGTTAAGCAGCTCCAGTCCATATCGTACGTTAGATATAACCTTTTCTTAAAAGGGTGTGCGATAGACTTACCTCCACGTGGTGCACTCTGGACAACGTATATTCATACGGCAAAGTCTATAAATCGGCAGTTAACTTCTCGATTCAAACTATCATTACCCCACTGTATGTCATGTTCGACTGCTTCCACAGTACTCCCCTCACCTTTTTTCTGCCTTTTCTACCTTCGTCTTTGAGACACTCTTCTGTTCCCCCCCCCTCTCGACTTTTTTCAATTCGACGTTCCTTCCCTCTGTGAAGCCTGAAGTCAACTAAAGGGCTAATTATAACCATCAAGACGCCTGCCATTTGATATAAATAAATAAACCTTTTCTTAAAATTGGTAGTAGCTAAATACACATTTAGCTATCTCTCTGCCTATAAGCTACAGAGCTTTTAAATATTGAAATATCAACAATTCATCTGTCAAGTTGAAACAGCGCAACGGAAGGAGAAAACCCATTCAAATGTCAAAAGTCTTTCACTAATTGCTTAAAATAGTGCCTTCAAAATCGTCATTGCTTTGCCTAAGCAGAATAGAAAATGCGTGTCATTTAACTATTTTGAATAAAATAAACATAGTTAATTTCCATAATGATATCATTACCCCCTCCTCTTCAGAATTTCATTGGAGCCACTGGAAAAGTGTGACACATTAAGGATTTCAGAATTGGACCAAATGAAAAAAAACACCCCAAAGGGACATGGTGACTCGACTATAATTGAAATCACTCTGCTGTCAAGCCTATCTGGCTTATTCATCTAAATAAATATAACTGACACAATATAGCAAGAGGTATTCCTTCTGGGATCTTCCTTCTGGTGATCTTCTGGGATCTGCTATATATATATATATATATATATATATATATTTCCCAATACGTTTTAATAAGAACCTCTGGGCTCTCAGTAGAAACCGCATACGGGGACATGTGACGATGTCAACTCTAAATCTATTTCTTGTTTATAATATACAAGCTCAAAAACAAACACCGCTTACCTCAGGCTCTTAGCTCTCGGCCTGTATGCAGGAGAGCCACTATGGGTGGAACAGGGCGAAGCTCCAGTAGTGGCTCTAGCAGTACTCGCTCTGCCCGAAATAGACGACGGCGCAGCTGGAGATGCGGCTTCCGAGGACAGCGAAGAAGATGGTCCCTCTGGAGGAAGTAGAATCTGCTGATGCTGTTGCGAAGGCACTTTCCCTTTTGTCTTTACCATCGCTGCTTGACACTTGGCGCACAACACCGAAGATGATGCGGTTACATTCGGTGGAACAAGAGGTGGTTGATTTGTTTTCTTAATGGGTGTACTAGTGACCGAGACGGACAAGTCTTCGGAGACCTGTTCGATGAGGCGACTAGGGGCTACGGGTCGAGGGGGATTTGAACTCACTGGGAGTATGGGCTTAGAAGAAGCAGGAGGATGAACAGGAGTAATTCGAGGGGTAGGGGAATCCCGACCTGTTTGAGTGATAGTAGAGGAAGCACCTACTGACTCCCCTGAGGTCGTGTGAACAAGATTGGCGCCGAGAAATCCTCCAGGGTTGGAACCACTACCATCATGGTGACTGTTGGTATTACCGCCGCCACCGGGAGGAAGACGATAACCTGTGTTTTCGATATTCTCTTTAGAAGAGTAATGGCTCTGAAATGCAGAAAACAGACACATATGTAGGACGGTATTTTGTGTGAGGAGCTCGTTGCGCGATCTGCCTATTTCACCAAATTGGGACGAATGTGTGAATGACCTCTCTATCGATCACAAATCGCATGATATCGAAAACTATGCCATTGATTTAAAACTGTCGCAGTAATTATAGAAAAAATATTATTATTTTGAAACCTCATTGAATGATAGAGACACACATTTATAACCAAGATTGACTTTGTAACTACCTTCAGTAGGAATTAGATTAGGTTCCAAAGGCTAACCGATAAATTACTACGAATTAAATGCATATTGCAAAGTGCTCTCCAAAATTTAGCATGTAGTAAGTTATAAATAGAAGTTGCCTACAAGTAAATCATTTCAAAAATACCAACTTTCATTTGTGAATTCCAATCCACCCCCCAAGTTACTAATGTAGGTAGAGTGTTCAATAGTGTATGATAAATGCTCTTCGAAATGCCAAATATCAGAAAAATCAGTTAGACTACGAATTTTGAAGTGAAAGTGCGGTTAAACAAACCGATCTACTAGTTTTAAAAACCTTGCCTTTCGATATAAAGAAAAAAATTGATAATCAAATGGAATGTTGCTAGGACGTCAAGACGAATATTTTCGGGACACGTGAGCGAAGTTTAAGAACTGGAGTTTATCGATTGTTGGGTTGACATACTCATATCTGGAAATGCAATTTTGGCAACACTGCAAGTACCGGTTCACCCAGGCGACCAATAATTTCGAATTAATAAAAATCGATAATAAATACATTCACTTTCTGTCTTCCTTCTAGATCCCAGTCAGAGTATCCAGAATGGACAGTGAGTTATACAAGTGGTAGCCCGTGTCTATGAAAAATAAAAAGCATAAAATTCTGATAGCAAGAAAACATTTAAAATAACGCTACCTTTGTCCACAACACAGAACATGTTAATTAGATAAATTGAAGATGAAGCTATCACCAAAACATGTGGATTTTTTACTATTAACGTTAATGAGTACTCACAGAAACATTGCTCGAACCAGCTGTATTGGTGCCATAACCGGAAGATGGGAGAGATGCCAGTGACCAACGGCGATTTTCAGATGTTCTAAAAAAGAACAGAAATTAGCAGAACCGTAGTATTTCGCCAAGTCTAACTACCGAGTATAATTTTTGATTTACAAAAATTCTCGAATGTACATTTAAGAGGCTCATACTCAAACATTCCATCTACCGACCAGTAACAAACTTTTCCAAGCCCATTTGGAAAAGTGTGCAAAGGCTAAAAGCGGTTGAGAACTCAAATTCGGCCACGAACAAGCTGATTACTGAATGGTTATTCTAATCAAGTTTGTGTGACCTCTAATCCGATGGCTATAATGGAATTTCTATTACATAGAAATGCATTAACCCAAATGAGAAGCAAAAATGTAACCGAACTTACTGTAATGATTCCAAGCGAAGATGAGCAGGTAAGTTATGTGGGGGATTTCGTAAGGGAAGACCAGTTGAACCTGTTGCCTCCGTTGGTGTCAATGGGCTTCCACCTAATAGCAACAATAAAAGCACCTCGTGGTGATAAAATTACAGTAATAAAACAATATAAAAACTAAATCGTAAATTTAGCTAAAGATACTCTTTAATGTAATAAAGTGAGCCTCTAATGACGACAGTACCGAAGTGTTTTAAATTGTTATTGAGTAGATAAAGAAGGCCGTTTATTTAAAGTAGTCACATGCTACTCAATGTCTTGCAGATTTTAGAAATTAATGCAATACAGGGCCAATGTAAAAATGAGTAGCATCTGGTAACCTCTGATGAGTAACAAACGATTCACTGCACCCCCCCCCCCCTCAACCACTACAGTTTGACAAGTCCATAACTAGATGAGGTACGATGCGTATCAGACTTGGGATCTGTACAGATCACTGGAATACAACTTCAACGCATAAAGGACGATAATAGTTTTTAGAGAGTTGAAGAGGGGGTACAGGATCCAAACACCTCGTATGAACCAATAGGATTACTTATGTCGTAGAGACATCGTTGATTCATCGAATACATAGGCTTATGAAGCTATGCCACTGGTGCATAGAGTCGGTGAGTTAGAAGATTCGTTAATTCAAAACTATTATATGGTTCAAAAAGCCGCAAACTTGACAAAAGCCTTTTGTAGCAGGAATTACTTCCACATGAGGCTTAAAACTATACTAGGGCAACTACAAACAAGGACAATAAACCAACTGAAAAAGGCGGCAGGGCATCAATGTTAGAGAAGCAAAATGAAACACTAATAATGGTGTGGTAATAGTGGCGTTAATTAGATTTCTTACGCACCGAGGACGTTATCAAGCCTCTGTCGCTTTGCTATTGACGCAAAATGAAGAAATATAAAAGGTAGAAATATGGAGGGAATAAATCTTGAGGCTGCTTACATTGATAACAGACTGCACACTGAGCGCCATAATTTCGACTTGAATGAGAGGAACGGTCGGCTTTGATTGTGGTGAAGGCGGGGGCAGTAGTAACTGTAGTTTGGGGCGTTGCAGAAGCGGAGGGGGAAGTTTGTGTAACGATCGGGAAACCATCGGCAACGGAGACACACGAATTCATTCGGAGTTCTCCCATAACAGGTGAGAGTGAGGAAGCTTCAGGAGGAGGTAAACGGGTTGTCAAGCGTGGACTAGGACAAGCGGGACCCCCCGAAGACAGATCTGACATTCCAGTGCTAAGCGCCCGAGAAATTGACGAGGACACGACAGGGGCTGCAGGCCGTACAGGACTCACTTCCATCGGGATATGAGCAGGAGAATTAGTAGGAGGAGGTGCAGAAATTGAGGATGAGTCATCACCCCCACCACTTAGATACCGTGAACGACAACGTTCAGATGCTCCTCCACATATGATTTTAAGGCGCTGCATTGAAGAAGATTTGGAGTTGATGGGAGAGAGACCCATGCTAACAGCAGGGAGAGTGCGATTAAAACTGGACATAGTAATATTGACATCAGTGAAGCTACCATCCTTGTGGAGACTACTATCGCGCTGTAAAGAAATAAAACAGATTAAAATCCCCGAAGGCAACATTACTGATCAAATCATAAAAAAAAATGAGGCATCGTGAGAGTGTCCACGCTAGTCATTCATCTGCCCCCACTTTTCACTACCTAGCACCATAAATATAGCATAATAAAAATGAGGGGAGCAATAAAATAGCGACCTAGTTAAGCACACACACAAAAAAGAACCTTCAAGACTGAAAATCAATTCAACTAGGCCCATTCGTGAAAAATGAAATCTGAAAAACGTTTATTTACTCCATTTTGCAAATCAGTACGAATTGTTATAACCTCACCCACTCTAAGCAATCGTAATAACCCATTGTTAATTACTCTCTTCATTTGTCTTTCAATTCCATACGGTTGGTTTCCTAATTCCGTAATACCTATGAAGAATTCCTCTTCCCCTACCTTGCTTACTGGATTGACGCCTTCATTGTTCTCGCCTAACACACAAATATAGGGTTAGTCTCTTTCCTCATTTTGTTGGAATTCGTGGAAGATAGGAAAGACAACGGTCTAACATAGTACGCAAAAACTAGACCGATAACTACTAAACTGCAGTATCTCCACACACAAAAATACCCTTGGAGACTTAAGGCTTTTCAAGAGACTAAGAAAAGACTACAATCCAAACTACGAAGTGCATAATGCCTAAACTTATTAAACAACGAAAAATTTTGAGGCGGGGAGGGGAGCCGAAACGCGTTTTCATATTTTCGTAAATTACAATTTGCCATAAAATCCCTTTGAAAAAACTAACAACACCTGTCTCTGGCAAAGAGAAGGTATCCTTGGGCCATTCACTAATCAAGAAGCTCGGATTCTACCAATCCTCTAACTGGTTCAACATTAACAAAACCAATGAATGTGCACTATCGAGCACCGATCTTGCGAATCGAGTTGACAAGCATACAAGTTGACCACTGAACCTATTGAAGATCAGTTTGTCATAAAGACCCAAGTCTTTATATACCCGATAGTCCTATAACGGGTCAGAAGAATGCAAGCTGACATTTTTTATTATTGGAATTAAATAGTTCAAGAGATCAAACTAATCAATTTAAATATCTGAGTTGAAATGGCTTATTAGTGAGGAAAAATTAGCAGTATAGAGTGTTAACAGTCGACCCCTTATGTTAAGTGGTGTGAGTGCCTGGACAAGAAAGAAGGTGAACAAACGCAGATGGTCAAATAGAGCAGATGACCAGAGGAAATATTTTTTTCCTTAGAAGTGCTGCTTTAGTAAATGATAGCACGCCAGCGTTTCATATGAGATATCTGGTCAACAGTGGAAATAGGAACTTGAGTTGGTTTTAAAAGCTAAGATACTGACAAAATCCTCAGAAATCGAAACCTTTGTCAGGAAGGACTTTTAATTACGAAGTAATTTTTTTTAAAAAAAGCAAATCTAAAGGGGAAAGGTGAACAGGCGACTCAATGGATGACAGCAAACAGGTAAGAGTAGAAATTAAACAGTTTACCGTAACGCCCAAAGAGAAAGGATAATAGCAATAATCAATAATTGGGACCTGATCATATAAATATTTCTAGGTTGACCCCAAAACCTAAGTTCGATCTCGAGGATAAAAGCCAAGTAAGAGGGGGGAGAGCATAGCACAATTTTAAAACTAAAAGAAAATCACTTACAAAACTAGAAAAGAGGTTAGGTGCAGATTGACCCATATAAGCTCGCCGCATTCTCACAAGATTGCTCCCAGTCGGATGGCCTATACAGTGAGGAGGAAGAAGTAAGAAGTTGTAGTAGGAAAGGAAGATAGAAGTAAAATAGGACGCACTTGGAATTGACGGATAAACACCGATAGCTGGACTGGCTATAGAGGGAGGATTGCTCATTTGAGCGTGAAATGAAGGAGGCATAAGGAGGGATGACCGATAGGAAATTGATGACGCCGCGTCATCCCAAGCATTGCCGATGGCTCCCGTTTGATTACTCGGAGCTGGCCTTTCCCCAGATCTTCGTCTACCACGTTTGTCATTTAGACAGAATTGCGGGGAGATGGAGAAGAGGGATCCACTTGCTCCTGAAGCTAAGGCGGGAGCAGGGGACGAACCACCGGGAAGTTGTGATGCTTCTAGAGATGAGAGGAAGTGAGTCGTGGAGGGAACATTTACGGAGAGAGATGCGGGTCGGAATCTAGAGAAACGAAAGGAATCTGCTACACCGAGGGATGCTGTGCGCTGAAGTGCGACTGCTGTAGTCGATTCCTGAGAAACAGGAGCTCCACTTTCAATTTTGATCGATGATGGAGAGTGACAAGGATGGCCACTAGAGTCTTCCTTTTCATCTCCCGTTTTATGTTCACTGTCATCTATTCCGCCACGGCTGAATGGACTACCACAAAAGCTCGAACTCAGACTCCGGTTAAATGAAGAGAAACCTGAGAACTAAAAGAGCAGAGACAGAACGATCAAATATATTATTTGTAACATATAAAAAATAAATTTAAAAGATAGATTGCCCTTATTGAGTTGGGAGGGGAGACAATACATTTCCTACAACGAAATGAAGATCGGCGTGAAGAAAGTCCTGGATGAAAGAAGTCAGGACCATCAGGTTCATCAAAAGAGGAGGAAGTGACATTCAAGCTACCCCTACGATTGGCTATTAATCGATAGCGAGTACGTTCCTGGAACTCAGCTAGACATTGGAGTTCTAAACGGGGGTTAAAACTGCTACTGTTGCTGCTGCACCCACCACCGCCACTATAGTCCGTAGTTCGTGGTTGAAGGATATTACTTGAACACTTTTTAGCACGTTCATCACCACTATCACTCAGTTCCTGCATGAGTTGAGGGTTTGGTGGTATGGTATGAATGTGATATTCAATTTACAAAGAGCTAACGTTAACGCAGTGCTAATTGGTGAAACTGACACGCCCTATCACACGGCGATAATTCTCACTCAAAGTGAAGCGCGATTCAGAAACAACCTACGCGAGATATAAAAATTGATAGATAAAAGTAAATGCATCATTTTGCACAAAGTTAGTGCTTCAACTACAATCTCCGGCAACATATATAAAAGGTAAGGTGAATAATATTATATATTAAGACATACCCGCCGATCTCGATTCTCAGATAATTGGCGTTCACTACGACAAGTTTGTAAATTAGTCCAAAGTCGAGAAAACTCCTCACCAGTAAGTGACTCGGAGAAGGTAGACTCAACAGTTTCGATAGGAGCGGAAATGAGATCCTCAAGAGTACATTCATCAGAAAGACTGTGTAATGCCTTGTCTAGATCAATTTCTTGAAGGAATTGAATAAGCCTGAGTCGACCTTTGGGAGAGCAGTGGTTTGCTCCATTCCTACGTCTTCGTAATCCTGGGCTACACTTCGCGCTGCGACTTCGATCGGAGAAACGCGATGAGGTATCGATATAAATATTTTTGGAAGAACATTTTGGATCAGTAGGATTGTCGCTCATTATCTAGAGGAAGTTCTTTCGATTTTTATTCAATTTTTCTTCCAGTGGGCATAACGTAGATAAAGAGGCACTCCCGGCCAATCAAAGAGAGGTAATGGCAAAGCTGAACTTCGATGACCTTCTAAAAGTAACTAAAACAAACATCCTTCAGTGTTTATAACATTAATTTTAATAGTGCTTTTATAATCGAATCTTTTATATATCGAAATGTTGTCTACTTTTAATTTAATGAAATTTAAATATCTTTTTAACATATAACAGAGTTTTTCCTAAATTTGGGGATATAATTTGGTGCCAATGTTAAACAAGGTAAAAGGAAATGTCAGTGGGAATAACTACCATTTAAACCTTAACTTTGTATGAAGTATAAGTATATATTATCTCCTTTGCATGCAGCTTATTATCTAAACTGAAAAAGCTTCAAATTCTCTATATTGATAAAAAAATGCTCCCCAAATCATAATAGAGTGAAAAGTGAGTGCAAAGATGAATAAATAATTACTAAAGTTGCTTAAAACACGCATATCTTTTGAAAGCCGTATTCCTAGAGATTTTAAATGCTTTAAGCCCTTTCTTGCCACGCGAATTTATCATGTTTTGCTGACGTTTCATACATTACGACCGCTTTTATTCACACTGTTTTACATATTGCAATAATACATATTTATTTTTAATACATTCTGAATTTTTATTGCAATTTTTATCAATTTCATACTTGTTAACTTATATCTCATCACGCTTTGTCCCACTTAATGAGGACGAGTTGAATTTCACTTTCCCCAAGCTCACATCATTAACCTGAACATGGTTTTTATTCAATGTTTGGATAAAATAAGTTTAGAGTCTTTCTAAATGCTTTAAATCGTTTTAATCCCTTGGATGAAAAACGGTAATTAGAGTTTATATCACACTTTTACATATACGTCAATGAGTATACTGCACTTGCGCCAACTTACAAGAATTCATTTGGATCATATGCACATTTTCTCAAAACACATATGTTCAGGGCCCGTAGTGAAACAACTTGATTTACACAACTGTGTATTTGTCAATTGATGTTATATTTGGAGTTGTATAACATAATAAACAATGTTAGGAAATTTTGCTTGATCCAAATACACGATCTTAAGCACTGAATAAGAACATGATTGATAATAATATTTTTAAAATAAACCTCCAGATACGCAGTCAAAGAAAAGTGTACATGAGATTATTCTTATTCAAAATAATTGATAGAGAGATTTATTAAGTAAATTAAGTTCCCCAAAATTCATCTTGTGTGTTTTAGCTTCATTAACATCTATACTGCTTCCCATCATGGACGGTGGTTATCGACAGTAGATGTCAATAACTTTTTTCATATATACTAAATGCAAGTTTAAAAACTATCCAAATGCATTTATTATTTGAGATCGATATATAAAATATTTTCCCCAAAGTTACTTTCCAACCTTCCCCACAACAAAGTAGGGCTATTTTAAAGCATGCCAAGTAGATCAAATTCCTTCAATATGAACCTATTTCGAGTGGGAACATCTAAAGTTGAGTCGGGGAAATGTGCATGGCCAGTTTAAAATTAACTATGAAAGGAAGTAGGTAGGAATTTGAAGGGGAAGGCGTTAATTTTGAGTAAGGATATTCCAAATTGTAAGAGAATATTATTATTCAAAATTGTCAAATGAGGATAGTATTTGGGTAAGAGTGGGTGAATAGATAGACACTTCCACATCAGGCATTTGATATATGAGGACCATTTTTCCATAAAACGAATTAAATCATTCTTGTAAAATAGGGGTTTACAGAAATAAAAAGCTTCTGTATCTTTGCTTTTGAAAATTGGGATAAAACGCAGATTTCAAATAAAAGGTTCTAGCTTACTGTAACAAAAAGTAACCAATTAATGTTTTCCATGCAATATGCCAGCCCACCGTAATATAATATAGAATGATATAATCCCAAGCGTGAATTTTTAAACAGGGTTTTACTATTGCCAGTAAGGGGTGTGCGATAGACTTTCCTCTACGTGGAGCACTCTGGGCAACGTATACTCATACGGCAAAAAAATCTATTAACTGGCAATTGATTTCTGACTTCAAACTGCCATGACCCCACTGTATGTCATATTCGATTACTTCCACAGTACTCACCTCACCTTTATTCTATCATTGTCTCTGTCTCTTTTACATCTTTGAAACACTCTTCTGTCCCCCACCCCTCTTGACCTTTTTTTACTTTGATGTTCCTTCCCTCTGTGAAGCCTGAAGTCAACTAAAGGGCTAATGATGACCATCAAAACGCCTGCCATTTGATATAATAAACTATTGCCAGTAAGTAGGCTATTGTCCCATTTGTCAGCAAGTAACGCTTCAAACCCACCTACTTGTAAAAGAACATGCTTCTCCACCCCCTCCATGCTACGGATCTGTTGTTTAAGCCAATTCAAAACTGGCACACCAACCAAATGGAACTTATTCAATTACCCTCTCTCGCCCAACTTTTAAGTTTTGATAGATTGGGGATGGTTATATGTTTTGGTTGAGTTTATGACCACTTCTGTCTTTACCGCTTGTATCTCAATACCGTAGACAGCAGTGGTAGGTAGCGCGATGCGTATGCCGAAACAACTCCTATAGCCATACTTTCATCAATAGATTGTCGTAGTTATCATGTGGTTAACTTTACTTATCTAGTAAATTGATTCTTATTGATTGGTCANTTTTACTTTGATGTTCCTTCCCTCCGTGAAGCCTGAAGTCAACTAAAGGGCTAATGATAACCATCAAAACGTCTGCCATTTGATATAATAAACTATTGCCAGTAAGTAGGCTATTGTCCCATTTGTCAGCAAGTAACGCTTTAAACCCACCCCCTCCATGCTATGGATCTGTTGTTTAAGCCAATTCAAAACTGGCACACCAACCAAATGGAACTTATTCAATTACCCTCTCTCGCCCAACTTTTAAGTTTTGATAGATTGGGGATGGTTATATGTTTTGGTTGAGTTTATGACCACTTCTGTCTTTACCGCTTGTATCTCAATACCGTAGACAGCAGTGGTAGGTAGCGCGATGCGTATGCCGAAACAACTCCTATAGCCATACTTTCATCAATAGATTGTCGTAGTTATCATGTGGTTAACTTTACTTATCTAGTAAATTGATTCTTATTGATTGGTCACGACTAAGAACGATTAATTCCCACTGGTGTCCTCAACATTAGTCAAGATCCTTACTGGCATGTGAACCCATATCGCTGATGACAGCACCTGTTATCAAAGTGGAGATATATTGTAGTACCAATACAATACCTTGATTTGACCACACATTACCTTAAATTGCATATTAAAACTCGAATATGCATTAGTAAGTATACTTCCACTAGTCGACTTGATGGGGAGGTGGGGGGGGGGGTTAGAGGTGAAAATATTCTCTATAAGCAGACTCCTCAAGTTGCAAAACCAGACAACGACCATCTAAAGTCGACCAACGCTGTCAGGGTGACAACGTGACTATCCAAAACAGCCTCGTTAAGTCACCTCGATATCTCCATTGGGACATGGATTGTTTCAAAGACTGACGCATCCCAAGTGGCAGTCGGCGCAGTTTTGCAACGGATGGTCAATGACGAAGTTCAAACATTATCCTTCTTCTTGAAGAAGACCACTCCCACTGAACCACGACGGTGCAAATTTGGTTGGGAAATGCCAACTATCTAACTTGCAGTCACACACGTTCGACATATTTTTGAAGAGTGGCAGTTCTTCGTCAGATGGAGAATTGACGGAAATCATGTTCAACCCTCCTTTAAGCATTGACTGCTTACCACTACAGGATCATGACGCCAATCTTCGTTGCGACGTTTCAACCGACGAGCTGAGACCTTTCGTCTCGTTGCACTTCACTGGATGATTTTCGACTATTTCCCTGGATTGCCGTAATCAAGCCTTCGTTCGACAGTCAAACTGATCACCAATCGTTTGATATGGAAAAGTTTCGACACGATGTCCATCTGTGGTCGAAAATCGCCTCACTTACAAATTCATCAA